AAATTACTGCCTAACAGTGTTGAACGAATTGAGATGGGGCAGCAGGAAGAAGGAAAGAGAACAGTCTTCGTGGAAGCAAAAGCTCCACAGCTGGCAGCAGCATTGTGATACGTCAGAGGGGAAATGCTGAGTTGGAAGGTAGTGAGCTTCCTGTCTGTGGGGTATTCACAATGACGCAGGGTTATTGAGGGTTATTGGTGGAGGAAGGGACTTTAGATTAGAGTAAACCAGTTGCCATAAAGCAGAGTCCGACTCATGGTGACCCCTTGTGTGTCAGAGTAGAACCGCGCTCCATAGGGTTTTCAGTGGCTGATGTTTTTGCAGGTAGATTGCCAGGGCTTTCTTCTGGGGCCCCTCTGGGGGAACTCAAACCTCCAACCTTTTGGTTAGCAGCTGAGTGCTTTGACCATGTGCACCACCCAGGGACTTAGATTGGAATACTGATTCTTAAACTTTGGCTCTTGAGCGACCTAGAGAGGTGGTGTATGCTCCCGGCACCCAGACGTTGTAAATCAGAATTTCCCAATGTTGGGTCCAGGGTTCATTTCTTTTTTAAAAGCTCAGTGACTGTACTAGATGGCCTCTGAGGAGCCGCCTCTACCGGGGATTCCCCCCAACCCTGAACAAGACTCAGCCTAAAGACTGCACAATTTTCAATTCGAATGTCCCCCAGTCTCTCTTATCCTCACTCCCCAATCCCATCAGCTTCCTTTTCCATTAAAGAAGGAAGGGGTCCAGGCTATCACTAGGGCCTTGGAGGTGTAGTCAGCTGCCCAGTGCCTGCTGAGTGGGTTTTACCACCTCTGAGAAGCCCCCGCAGGAGGGCGGCTGAGACCTAGTTGTCTACAGTTCTCAGGATTTTCCCGTAGTCCTCCTCCCCCTTTGACTTCCCTCGTCTGCTTCTAATCATCTTTCTGTCTTGCAGTACAAAAAACAAAACTGAGAATCCAAGGCCCAAAGTGTGAAGCTGTCCTAAAGACGTTTGAAGCTGAGAGACCTCTTTTCTTCTGGAACTAACTGGCGGCAGCACTTTTAGAATCCTCACTGGCTGAGAGAACAAAAAGTCAGAGGGAGACCTCGCCTTGGCTCAGATGGCCCTTCTCACCTTGCTCCTGACGCCGGCCTCCTGCATGTTTGCTCTGCCGGCCGCCACTTATGACTTGGGATTTGGGGAGAATGTGGGTTTTTTGTTCTTTATCTCTTGTTTTTTTGTGGGTGTGTTTGTGTTTTTTTACTTTGCCCTGAAAGTGGCTCATCTAATCTGGAGGTCTCTTAACCACTCTTTGAGACCCGGGGCAGCCGTGTACTCAGATGGCAGCCTGAACAGAAGGAGGAACACGGGCTCCAGAACCAGACAGATCCGGATGTGAATCCCAGCTCAGCTGCTTTTCAAGATTTTTTCAGGTTCAGCTCCCGCCTCTGCAAAATGATGATTCTAGGGTTATTGGGAAAGTTAAATAAGATTAAGTCGAAGTGCCTAACATGGAATATGATACATGATTATGCCAGTAGGTGTTCCCACACCGCTCTCTCCTCTGCTCCTGTAGCGCTTGGGCCATCTCTGCTCTAGCACACGTGATGTCAGGTCTTTGTGATTTGTTTATTGGCTTGTCCCTTGATGCAAAGAAGACTAGTGTCCTGTCCCTACTTGTACCCCTGAGCCCTCACAGTTGCGTGGTACCCGCCCAGCAGCCTGCCATTTAAATGCTCTTCTCAGACCACCTTGCCTGGTTGCCCAGGGGTGTACAAGCCC